TAGATAGATAGATAGATAGATAGATAGATAGATAGATAGATAGATAGATAGATAGATAGATAAAGAATATGGTTTAACACTTTCACTGAATGATGTTCCATGTTAGCATTTAGTAACACAGGAAATGCCTCTCCCTAACTCTTTTGTCAGCTAGGATTTTTCCCCACAAATGCTCTTCGACTCAAATATTCTCCAAGACAATTAAACTCAGCATGAAGGAGAAGGGTCTATTCAACATAATAGGAGAAAAGGTGTTTTCACTGCTTTTGAGAAAGTGTTGTGTCAAAGCATAGTTTTGGCCAAGTACCTCCTACGCCAACATTCAGCACTTCTTTAGTGGTGCTGAAACATAGCATCCTTTCAGGATTGGACTTTCAGTCTCATGTCAATGATTGCCTTCTTGGAAGACACAGTCTATCACTGGGGATCCCAGCTGTATAAATCCATTGTGGCTACTTTTTTGGTAGTCCAGAGTTTTAGAAGTAGTACCCAAGAATTCTAAAACTTGATGGTGTAGAGCAGCCAGAAAAACTGAACCGGCCTTTTGAGAACTACCACTCCTTCCTTGCTAAATGCTAAATTATTCCAGAGAGGAAATTCAAATACATAATTTCCCACCACCCTGAGAAGTCAGAAGTGCTATCTATGCTCTAAAATAGCAAACTGGTTAATATTACTCACAAAGTATGCTGCTTGCAAAATGGATACAAAGCAGAGTTGCTGGTTTTCAGAACTTCCCCTTGTCAGGACATAAAACTTTGTACACTAACTTCTCTACGATTTCAATAAAGTTATACTTTGGCCACTTCTCTAAAAGTTGGTATCCCGTATTTGGATTTCCTACCTGCAGTACTGTCTCAATCACTGTGGCAAAATATAACTGATAATTTTCACAAAGCCCCATTTGTCCCAGATGCAGTCCAATTCTAGACTTCTGTAATAAAAAAAATGGATGGAATGTATTTGTGTCACTCTTGTGTTTTCAGAAATTACTATTTAGTTGGATGACCTGCCCTTCTGGTGCAAGCACAGAAAAATCTTTGGAGCAATTGTGTGAATTTGTGTCCGCACACACACACACACATGCATGTTCATCCACTTGGCAAAATTCTGTGGGCTCCAAGGAAGACTTCTGCCTTGAAGCCCCTTTCTCCAGTGCCCCTCCATACATGCATTGTAGGTTGCTTGCTAGTACAGGCAGCCAATTAGAATAGATCCATTGACTCAACATGAATTGCATAAGTGATTTAGTTAATTAATTATGTTCTGTCAAGTCAGTTCTGACTCACGGCAACCCGTTTAAGGGTCTTCCAGGCAGAGAGTATTCAGAAGTGATTTATCATTCCCTTCTTCTGGGTGAACTTTAGGGCAGTGCAGCTCGCCCAAGGCTACACAGGCTAGCCCTTCAGGAATGCAAGCGGGGAATTGAACTCCCAATGTCTTGCTCTGCAGTCAGATACCTAACTGAGCTATCCAGCCAGTGAGAATTGACTTACAATTCAGGAATTGATTCAATTGGGAAAGGGTCACAGCCTAAAGTGATTGGTTTTTCCCCACTTTGACTGCTAGTTTTCTTACCTCTGGCTCTTTTTCCTGTTTACCTTTGATTGCTTTGCCTCTTGATTGCTCTATGCTATGCTATTCTAAGCATCCACGCAAGGAGCTTCCTTGTGATTACAAGCCTTTTTTTCTTTAGATTGTAATTATGTACAAGCTGATAATTGTGAGTGAATGTTTTTCTTTCTACTTAAGATGCGTCTAGAGTGACTTTTACCAAAAAAAGAGCCAAGCTTGTGTGGTATGAGAGAGCAAGAGAGACTGGGCTGATCTCTCCACATTTCAATGATTTTACTGCTTTGTGTTCTGCTGAATAAAGGAACGATCAAATTCCTAATATAAAACTTTTAAACTAAAAAACCTCAATAGAGTTTACTCTCTAGGTGAGACTAGCAATCAGATACTGTTCTATGTATCACAAGTGCTATATATTCATAGATTGAACTAATGTGATTTGGCAAATATTAATCTGAACATTGACGGTCATTTCCAGCTGTGAAGTCAAGAGCTTCTCTGTACCAAATAATTTGGGATCAGGGCCAGGGTCCACAGTTTTTGTGTCAATTTTTTTCATTCTCCAAGACGAATAAATTTAAGCTGTGTAATGAAACTAAGTAAGCACACATAAAATCGTCCCTGTTACTTGTCGTTGCTAGCATCTGCCTGTAATATTTTTGATAACAGCATCAGGCGCATAAATGCCTGACATGAGTCTATTTAAGGTATAAATGTTTTCTCAGCAGCAGTGTGGAGGCCCGGAAGCAGATAAACAATGAGCTAAATCCACTTGCTCATCCCAGTTAGAGCAAATGTACTGAATCAGTGGAATTTACATAAAATATGATTTACCAATTTTTCATTGGTTCAGTGTGTTTCCTCTAGCAGACAATAGTAATTGGAATTAAATCCAGGTTTCTTTATCAGAACACAGATTTTTCCTTGCTAGTTGAGAAATTAGGGGCCCGTCTAACTCAATGTTCTAACCTAGCTTTGCCGAGCTGAATTCCTATAAGATTAGATCGTAACTAGCAAGGCATTAACATGAAGGTTGC